AATAACACATGCTTTGGGCACTGAGCTTCATGTACAGGTTATGAACAAAGTTATCATTTGAGAGCAAAAACCCCCCCTTTATTACCAAACTCTGAGCACTAACAGGGATATGCAGAATAAGCAAGACCAAGTTTATACAAAACGGTTCTGGCAAATAATAAAGCATATTTTTCCCTGACTCCAGCAGAAAAGCCCTCCTTTTCAAGGCCAATCTTGCATCATTTTGATGCTAATTCTGCTATTAGCAGTTCTTAGTATCACAATACTCTTCCAAGAGAAATAAACAACTTCAAACTGTTGAATATGTTCTATTACACAGCCAATACATTTACAACATGCAAAAAAGCTTTGCCTTAATAAAGTTATAGTAAGACTTCTGAGCCTCTCAAAAGCAGTCAGTGCTAACTCTGTCATGAACTGTACATGAGGAATAAAAGTTTTTCCACTTTCATTACTGGTTAACCTCTGCAAAGCAAGGTTAGTAGAAAACCGCACAGCAACCAAATCCTTGATTCCCAAGGGCTATAAAACTGGAACACAGTCATCAGACAATCTACTACAAATTGAGGACAAGTAAGAGTCTTGCACTAAAACTTAGATTTAGTAGAAATTGTGCATATGGCACCTGATAAGATTTTAGTGTAAACTTTTTCTGTTTTCCTCTTAGGAACAGTGAGAGTAAGAGATATTTTACTGATGACACTTGTGAGCAGTCAAAACCACTGAAAATCAGTTTGTTACAGAGTACAGAAAAATATTACTTTTAATTAAGAGATCTCACACTGCAAGTAGTAAACTAGAGTAACAACTGCAACTAATGGCTGCCTTTGTCTACCTAAACTAAACTTCTTGGATCAAAGTAAACCAAAATCGGGGGAAGGTAAACAACCATAATTCATTTGTGTGCCTGCTGGTTTCACAGGACCTAATTTTCCAGGTCTAAACAGCTGTACTACTGAAGGCTTTACAATACTTTTCAGCTATAAACAGTGTCCTTTCAGGCTACAAAACAGCTTCACACTTACCCTGATACAGTTTTACAGCCACACACACCAGTCAAGGCAGCCAGAAAAAAACCACGACCCACCTAGAGAAATTTAAAAAAAAAAATAA